TTTCCTTTCTCTCAGTTCCATTTTCCAATTTTTTGTTATCCACCGTCACTTTCTCACTCTAACTTCGCCTTTTGAGCCACTTCCTGGAACCACTTTGGCCGTGGTGAGCCAATTTTGACTAATGTGCTAATGGGCCTGACACTCATCTTCCTCTTTTTTTCTATCAGATGCCCAAAAACGTATTCAGCGCGGATGTCAAGGTTGTCGTAGTCAGAATGGTCCTTCGAGGAATGCGGTTTCATGACATCATCACTACCCTGGGCATGGGTCTCTCCCTGACCTCAGTTCGCCGCTGGTTTTCTCTGTATCAGCGGACTTGAGCTGTGGTAACCAACCCAGTGGACCACATGGCTCAAGGTGCTCCTGCAAGTTTGGGACAAGCTGAAAAGAATTTCATACTCAACTCCCTTTGTCTCGACCCAACTCTTTACCTAGACGAGTTACAAACCAAGCTGTTTGATACTTTTGGCCTACGAGTGACCACTATGACGCTATTGAATGAGCTACGTAATCGGCTTCGCTGGACACGAAAAAAATCCAGGACGGTACACCCAAACCGATCAGATGAGGCTCGAGGTGCTTACATAGAGCGCATTCACGACATCGACCCCAGGTGCCTAGTGTTTACAGGTACTTTTGGTTCTACGCATGCCCAGTTCATATTTGTATCTGAAACACTGATCATCTGTTTTCACATTCAAACAGATGAGAGTGCCATCAGCAAACGTCGACTATATCGTGACTATGCACGAGCTCCTGTTGGTCAAAGAACCTCTCGACTGCAAAGGCCAACAGCGGCCGTTCGTTTTTCAGTACTCCCTGCGATATCGATGGATGGGGTCCTCGCATGTAAAGTTCAGACAGGTGGTTATTCCCGCATTGATTTTGAATCTTTCTTGGAGGAAGATCTAGTTAGTTATTTCAGAACTCCCTGTCTCGCTTTTTTCTTTTTTTTTGGGATCTCATGAGTCACTTCTTTTCCAGTTGCCTGCAATGAACCCATGGCCGGCCCGGAACTCCGTATTGGTCTTGGATAATGCGCCAATACATCATGGAGGCCGTGTTGCTGAGCTATGCGCACACCGAGGGGTTCGTCTGCTATATCTTCCGCCTTATAGCCCCGATTTCAATCCGATTGAAAAAGGCTTTTCAATCCTCAAAGCCCGATTGCGAAGAAGCCAAATTCTCCAAACCGCTTTGAATTTGGCAGAGGAGAAGGCGGGTATTTTCATTTCAACAATGAATGTTTTCTCTGAAACGCTTTGTACTGCCCTTTTTCGCGGGTGTGGTTATTTGTAAACCATTCATTTTGGTGTCTCTCGCCCAAGCCAGATTGGGGGAGTCTCTGTGTGGTTTTGTCCCTCATGTTTTCAAATTGTTCTTCGCAATAAACATATTGATTTTTTGATCACTTGATTTAACATCGTGAAACATAAAAGTGAACTTTTGTGAGATGAGAGAGACCATGAATCGGTTTGTAGCCACATGAGCTACAAACCGAATTGTAGCTTGTACCAAAAATTCAAAGAACTACGAGGTTCTTCAGGTTACACGTAGAAGACAAATAGGACAAAAGTTCTGATTGAAGCGGAACTTTGGCTTCGTCATTATATTGAGAAGTTAAAGATTTCCAAAAGTGATTCAGATCGTTCATGTCTGAAAGAAGAATGTAACCTAAAAAACACGAAGATCTTTGAAGATATTCATTGATGATCTTCTCGGTCACACGGAGCAGACCAATCAAGTGTGAAGGTTCGAATGAAGATCAGATCTTTGGTATTCATCATGAAATTACTCGGATTCATAGAGGTTATAATCCGAGTAGTTTCATGATGATTGGCAAGGCTCTGAGGGTCGAAAGGATGGACAGATAACATAACTTTGCTTTTCACGGACATCACCAACAATATTTGGGGAGAGGACTATCACAAAACTCGCACACAAGAAAGATTCAAGACAAAATATCGGTGAGGTCCTATGAGAGACAGCCGATTTCGGAAAGAGACACAAAAAGGGATTGAAATAGAAGATTGGAGTACCACTCAAGCGATTTATATCGCCTATATTTGTAAAGCCTGCTTACATCAAGTTTATTTTTGGAACCATTCATACCGATTCAGGGAAGTAAGGAACAAGGTAAAAGAAAACATCTACTACAAATGCATATGTATGACTTTATATTAGTCACTCGCATTGTGTTGAAGGGAAGCTCGGATTCATTCTGTGAGAAAAAGTTTGTTTAGTGGTCCCGCTAGAAGAGCTCGGGGCTGGAAAGATGGGCCACGTGCCATGACTGACCACGTGAGCGCATTTGGCGAGCTTGGGCCCCCGCAAGGAGGCGGCCAGCGATGGCTTGGGCGATACCGCGGCTGATTAAAGAAGACTCGGTCATTTGGGCTGAGGGAATCAGGTCGGTCCAACTCTCAACGTGCATTTTAGCCAAAGTCAATCGGGTGTTGATGTCCTCCGGTGGAATACCACAGGACATCAAGAAGGTTTCCAACATCGCCTCAGGAGCCATCACCTCAATGCCGTCCGAGGTTGCATCTGAGAGGACGGTCAAGCTGTCTTCTGAGTCGGAAACCCATACGATGTTGGGTTTAGATTGACCTGGGATTGGCAAGAAGAAAGCATGTCGTGCAAAACATCAAGGTCAGTGATACAATCACCAGGTCACATGCAAATTGAACAATTGGCCTGACCTTGTTTGGTTTTGACCTTCTTGGTAGGATTCTCGGCCTCAGCGGTGGATCCATTCACCGGAGCCGAAGAACCTCCAACAGGAGCAGGAACGGTGGGGACATGATCAAAGAAGGAGCGTTTACTACCTACTTGCCCTTGTACAGCCCAAGCGGGCAGGCGAGCTTCAGCGCGGTCACGAGCGCTCATGGACTTGTGAAACACTCGTCCCTTGATCATCTCGCGAATATAATCAGGCGTGTAGGGCGCAATGGCTCGAGTGGTCATTCCGTTGGCCTGGAAGTCAAGTAAAGTGATGCAATACCAACAGTCTTCAGCATAGCCTTGGCAGAATGGAGTCTAGATTGGTCACTTACCTCCTCTTGAGCCCAAATGTAAGCGCATCTCAAAGTGAAACAATATTGAAACGTTGGATCCCAAGGCGCGACCAAAACTGCACCATCCCCTCCAGAAGATGATTCTTCCGCATGCTGATGAAAGATGGCAGCAGTCGCCTCGTGTAAAGCAACCATACGCTCAGAAGCCTGGTTGATAATCACCCAAAGATCGTTAGCCGCAAAACGATGAGATCCAAGAGAGAGATTGTTAGAAATGGGAATTAATGTGACAAACCTCTGCGCGCGCATTTGCCGCGTCCAAATCTTGACTAGCAGGTTGAGTACCACCAGCTGAAGCGATGACCTTTTTGGCCTGAGAGGCCTGTGAAGCATAGAACAAGAGATATCAGTCAAACTGATAGGTAGGAAATGCAATTTGGAATGACTTACTAGCGCGAGTTTCTTGGCCTTAACGGCCTCATTTTCAGTGAAGATCATAATAGTACCTTCCTTTTTCTTTGATTTGTTCAAGTTGTCAACATACGATTGCCAGGTCTGGATATCTTTGATGACCACCTTGGACCGACCAGTCACACCTTTCCATATACAGAGAGGAGCTAGATCACTCTCCAGGATCAGGTGTTTCATACCATCCGAATATTGATCACAAACATCGGCACACATCTTCTTGAAATCATTGAACAATTTCCCGTAAAGACAGCTCTTCATTTCGATTACATTACCATCGTTGAAGATTTTCGAGTCGACTACATTGACCTTGGGAGTAGCTGTCTTACGAGTGGTGGTGACGCGAGTGTTGCTGGGCGGGGTGATTGTGTCAGCCTCATCATTGGAGTGGATCTTGAAATACACTCCAATGGTGACTTCGTGAGACTTGTCGAAACGAAGGCAAGAATCCGAACCAAGTCGAAATAGCGGCTCTTTATGAAAACGTGCGGGAGCATCATCTCCCTCGTAAATGGTTGATATAGGCTCAAACACTGAGAACAAATCAGTTATCGGAGATGGGCATGGTAGATGAAGAGGAGTGTGAGGATTATCTTACATGCGTTCATATGGCCAGTCACTGACTCCTGTGAGTTGGTGACGTTGAGGTTACTTAATCCAGACATTTCTGAAGTAACGCAAAATGAAGAGAAATGAAGTTACTGCTGAACAAGGAAAAAGCGAAGCAGAGGGATGACTGACTATTGCTATATTGATGACTAAATCGAACAAGCTGCATACAAAATAAGCGAGCGAAAAGGTAAGGAATTGGCTTATAACCCAAAGAAACAAGAGAGATATATTGGGATAATATAACTGACTATAGACGAGTTGAACTTGAGTGGAAATTGATTTGGAAAAGATGATATTTAGCAAGTGAACCGAAAGACAGGCTTGACTAGTGGATTGCTTGAGGTGGGAGGTTGGTAAGTTCATCAGTCTGTTCTTATAGCAACCAAAGACCAAAGAGATGACAAATTTTTGAGCTTACTTGGAAATCTGCTACGAGAGACTGGAAAATCTACAACAATCGAATGGCAAAATCCGCAGAAACGAAGGGCAAAACGCCAGAGTTTGTCAGAAGAACACAAACGTGAGTCGGTTGTGATCAAACAGGCCAAGAAGCTCCAAAACGAGCTTGAAGTCTCAATGTTGATTAAGATAGAGTTGTTGGTTTTCGAGATAGATTGATATCTTGAACTCAGGTCAGGTGGTCTTGATGGCAAAATTCAAGATTGAAAAAGCCTTGGGAGTCTTAGGAGCCAATGAAAAACACGACGAGCGTCTTGATTCCTGGCAGATTGGTTTGAAAAGTTGGGATGAATCAGGCGCAACCTCAAGAACGTGGTCGAAGTCTCCAATTTGAACAAGATAAAGTTGATGGATTTCGAGATAGATTGTGATCCAGAAGTGAGGTGAGGTGGCCTTGAAGGAAAATGTCCAGATTCGAACAGCGTTTGGAGATTTGGGAGCCAAATGAAAGTCGTATTCAAGGGTGACAAGGGTCCAGCTGGATTCCTTGGAGATTGGGTTGAAAAGTGTCGTGCGTAAGGGGCGGATAGCGATTACAATTTGGGATATGAGAATCCAATGAAGGCTGATATTGAGAGAGTTGAAACCGAAAGTTGGTAATAAGGTTGAGCGATTTGAAAGATGATGTGAAAAGAGATCAAACAATTGAACAACTCAGATCCATGACGGACTGGTCCCTAAAGCGAGGTGGTGTGAAATGGACATGCGTGCTATGTAGGTGGAGGTCATGATGTCGTGGGGCATGGAATCAAAGGAGAGGATGTTTGGCCAGGTTCAGCCCAAGGCTGTCAAACGCCATTGAGAAAATACGGTTGAAAATGAGTTTTGGACTTTGGAATTAAATCCCGTTGTAACACATTTACATGTGTTTCTACCGTTATTTCTTTTAACAGCTGTATCTCTCAATCCGTATTGTGCTCAGTATCTTCTTCCTCTTTACTTGGTTGTTTTAAATTTGTATGGTACTTCATCTTATTGTTCTCTTCTCTTTTCACTGCTCCTGCTAATATTTTGTTTCTAGGCTTCAAGTCGGTTTTCCAAATCTAATGTCTACTTCCAACTGTTGGTCGGTCACTCAATTACTTTATCGCTAGTGTCTTCCAAACGTTTCCGTGAGTCTTTTCTTCATTTACTAGTCTCATCCAGATCAATCAATCAATCCTCAAGCAACTCTTTACTTTGTTATCCTATCTTTTATTGGTCAGTTCATCATTTCCTATTCTTATCTCTCGTCCTATCTTAAACTAACAACAATACTCTTTTCTCTTCACTTGTTTTGGCTCGATCGATCATCTTCTTACTTCTTTTCTCATCATCAACTCCTTACTTTAGTTTTCACCTCGTTTGATCAATTCAGAAGGCTTTTAACCATTCCTCCTCTATTATCTCAGCAAGTTCTTCTTTTGATCTACTAGTAAGTTTTAAATGTCCTTCTTTCTTTCTTTCAATCTCATAACTTTAACTAATCTGTATTATCTTTTCTTGATCTTCTTTATTTCTTTGTTGCATCCACTTTTCTTTTAGATTGATCGCTATATAAGTTGATCCCCCTTCCTTTCTCTCTACTCTCTTCTCCTATTTCTCATTCTCCTTCCTACTACACCTATGAACCCTTTTGTTAAATCTAAACTCCCTTCTTATTATTTTTTTTTTTTGATTTTTTGTGATTTTCATTATAGCTTCTCTCTTTTAATTTGTAAACTAAAAATCCCTATGCCTCTTTATTTTATTCTCAATAATGTACCTTTGAGATTGAAATCAAATTGAAAGAAAATAAAAAAACTTGTCATTAACTAAAGATAAAGATGGCTTCACTCGGGAGAAAAAAGTGAGATGGTTGAGGTATAAACATCTCACCACAACAGGTGAGCCATTGGACCAGACTGCTTGCCTGTTCATGCGGTGAAATGATTTATATGGTCACGGTGTAAGCCTCTTTGGACCAGAAGACTTGTATGGTCATGGTATGAGACTTTATGAGTCTTCTCGCCTCATCATGGTATGAGACTTCTTGCACCATGACCATATGAGTCTTCTCACCTGATGAACAGGCGAGCAGTCTCATCCAATGGCTCACCTGTCCATTATATGAGGATTCTCACCTGACGAACAAGTGAGAATCTTCATATAATGGATGGGTGAGTCATCACCTTGTGGACACATGATCACATCAGGTGTTGGCCACCCTGAGTTTCACCTGAAATCAAATCAGTGTGGCCTCAGGTGGAGAGCCCGGGATTTTTTGGCAGAGGACCATTTCACCTGATGCTCACCTGCCAGCCGCCCTGTGGTGTATGTGTCGATTATCGCTCACTAAATAAAGTAACACGTAAAAATGCTTACCCATTACCGCGAATTGACGACGCGTATCAATTTCTATCGGGCGCGAAGTACTTCACCACGATTGATCTAAAATCCGGTTTCTGGCAAGTACCCATGGCACCGCAGGATAAAGAAAAAACAGCATTTACATGTCGACAGGGACACTTTCAATGGTCAGTAATGCCCTTTGGACTTTGCAACGCTCCGGCAACGTTCCAGGAAATGATGAATGACATCCTCCGTGATGTCATTGACAAGTTCGCACTGGTATACTTAGATGATGTTATTATCTTTTCTAGGACACCCGAGGAACACTTGGAACATGTTAAACGTGTATTCAAAATACTAAAATCAAACAGGTTAGTAGTCTCGCCAAAAAAATGTCAATGGGGCAGAAACTCATTACTGTTTTTGGGACATATTGTGGACGGCAGTGGGATCAAGACTAACCCAGAAAAAATCAACAAAATCATTGAATGGCCACAACCTGATAACATCTCCAAGGTGAGAGGATTCCTAAACCTCTGCACCTATTACAAAAGGTTTATTAAAGGCTTTTCCTCAATTGCTTCCCCAATTTATAAGCTCACCGAGGGATCTCCGAAGCCGGGGTCTTCGATTCATTGGGGGGAAGAACAACAATTGGCCTTTAATACACTAAAAGAAGCACTGTCAAGATCAGTACCCCTCCAACATCCAACACCATTCCGCCCATTTGTATTGGACACCGACACGTCAGGAACAAACATCGGCGCGGTGTTACAGCAAGATGAACAGACAGAAGTTCCTAAAACTGGAAGTTTTGATTACGCTCTGTATCAAAAGAATCTTAAAAATAACAACCTACGTCCAATAGCCTTTGAATCAAGAAAACTATCTAAAACGGAACAGAATTACTCGGCCCAAGAGCGAGAACTGCTCGCTATTGTACACGGACTAAAACATTTTCGCGGATACATAGAAGGTTCCCCAGTCTTAGTCAGAACCGACCACGAATCCCTCAAACACTTCAAGACTCAGAAGTTTATAAACCGAAGACTAGCTCGTTTCGTAGACGAGATAGAATTCTTTGATACTCACATAATATACCGACCCGGTAAAGAACAACTTGCGGCAGACTCCTTGTCACGAAAACCCAACACCGAATTCGACCTCGACCCACCAGAAGTGGCACAGCCACTTTTTAACATGGACGGACAAAAAGATCCCTATAAAGTCCTAGTCAAATACAAATTAAAACTCCTGGCCGGAGTCGACCCAGCCACAATTGGAAACGGATTGTTTCAAATGATCCAGAATGAAATGGTCTTATATGAGGACAAAAATTTAAGCACAATCCCTCGAATTGTGGCAACTAATGAAGGCAGAGCTGAATCTCTAGCTTTCCAGATTCACGAAGACCTGGGTCACCGGAACGTCGAAGACGTCATCACCGCTGTCAAGAAACGGTACTGGTTCCCATGCTTAAGCCAGACCGTCAGGAACTCGGTGTCGCTCTGTGCAGCATGCCAAGTACATGCCACACCAACAAAACAACAAACCCTACCTATCCAGATGATCACTAGAGGTAAGCCTTTCAGAAAATGGGGCCTAGACTTCGTGGGACCACTCGTGAAAACTACTAATAATCACCAACATCTTGTAACAGCCATCGATTATGGAACTGGATGGGCGTACGCGAAGCCACTCAAAAGGACTTCCGCCACAGCCGCGATCGACCTTCTAAAAGAAATCACATTAAACCACGGTTTACCCGTTGAAATCACTAATGACAACGGCTTGGAATTCATTTCACGCGAATTCCGGGAATATGTACAAGAGATGGGCATCCTACATATAACTACAACCGCGTATCACCCTCAAGCTAACGGCCTAGTAGAGCGTTTTCACGGGACACTCCTGAACGCCTTACGGAAGATGTGTAGCCCCTACAATCAAGTTCGCTGGGACGAATACTTAAACTCATGCTTATTTGCACACCGAGCATCATACTCTCACTCAATGAAAGCCTCACCTTACTTTATGGCTTATGGAAGTGAGGCCCGCCTACCATCCGAAAAAGTAAGTGTTAACTTCAATAACTCTATCGAAAACTTGGAATTAATCCATAAACAACGCAACCTAGACATCAGGAAGCACGCCAGCAGACGGGACAAGCTTATCGAAGATCTTAATTCAAGAGCACGAGAACAAAATACTAGAACTGAAGAGACCTACACGGAAAGAAGTCTTAAGACAGGAGATCTCGTCCTACGGAGCTTCGAAGGACGACCATCAAAGTTGCATCCAAAATGGGATGGCCCTTTTGCTGTTAGAGAATGTTACCCCAACGGTACGTATTCCTTAATGACTGCGAATGGCCATATCTTGAATGCTAAAGTAAACGGAGCTCGTTTAAAACTTTATAAAGGAAGATCCGCGGAATTCTTCTATGACTCTCGGGAACTCCACAAACGTGACAAACGCGCAAGAAGAATTAGCGCAACCCGCTGTTGATATAGAACGAGAAGAGTTGTTAGCGAGAAGAGAAGAATACCTCGTAGATCTGGCAATAAAACTACATAACGAGTTATACGCAGATGAAGCAAACAGAAATCTCAGAGACTTCTCCGCCAGAGCTTTGGGCGCTCTCTCTTACTACTTGCACGGCGCGTCGGAGGTATTAAACGACGAAATACAACACAATGAAAACCGTGCTGAAAACTAGGAAGTTTCCATACTTAAAAAGGGGGTGATGTGATACCCTGAATCCCATTGTTCTCTTTGTTACCTGTTTCTTTCCTCACCGCTTTCTCAAGAATGCTTTTCCTTTTACTTTGTGTGCTTTTTAAATGTACTCTCATTTCTCTTATCGACAAATCCCCCGGATTCGTCTACCAATGTTGTCAACCGGATCCAAGTACCAACGGATCCGGCCATCCTAGCTTTATCTCGATGTCTCTGACATCACCGCGTTGTATCTTCCCACCTATTTCCTTATTTGTACTTTGCAGAGATGGATGTCTATATAAAGACATCCATCCCTCGCTTGTGGAATGAAACCTCAAGCAGCTTCTCCTACAGTTTCATCGCACCGATCCTTGTTAGGAATAACAGTTTCAAAATCCTACGATTGATTAATCATATGTGAGATTATGAACATGTTTGAATCGAACTAAAAGCTTACCTGGGTGTTTTTTTGGCGAAGTCGATCAGCAATCTGCTGACGTCTGTCTCGCCAGTCTTGCATTTGGACTTCATCGAGATCTTGCGGAGCTGGATTGAGCATGATTTTGTCGTCTAACGCTTGACGAGCATCTGCGGCAGCCATTGCAGCAATCTTGACCTTTGCTGCAGAGGCCTCGGCAAGCCTCATGTTGGCAGCGGCGATGTCGGCACCCGCATTGTTGGCACGCTTCTTCGAGTCAGCTGCTTTGGATTCTTTGGCAGACTTGCGGCCAATCGGTCTTTTTGGCTCCATCGGTTCTGAAGATTCACCTTCTGCTTGAGAGGTTGAAGAAGGAGCACCATCGACCAAAATGGCTGGTGGGTTGGAAGAAGCCATCGACGGTTTGGTGGTAGTCTTGGTGAATTTTTTGACGCTGACTTCTTTCTTGTTCTTTTCAAGCTGATTACGATTAGTGCACCACTTTGGAAACTGGCGAAGGATAGCCCAGGAATGTTCGAGGGTGAAGCGCTTTTCCTCGTTGGTGGCAGCGTAAATCTGGTGAGCAATCTCGAGCTAGCCAAACAAAAATGCGAAAATTAAGAAAAAGAAATCACCAACTCAAAGCCAAAAAGTTAGACTTACCACATCAAGATGTCCACGCCCGGTGTAGTGAGATGAAGTTGCTTGGTCATACGCCGCACAGAACTTGGTAACATCGTGTTGAATTGTTCCCCAACGACGTTCGCAAGCTGAAGCATTACGAATCGTTTTTAGACCCGTAGCTTCTCTCACTTCTTCCACAAAGTTGTCGAAAATACGGCCCCAGTACGTGGTTCGCTTTTGTGAATCGCCTTGGTCAGGATCGAGTGAAGTGAGTCCCCATGCCTTGCAAAGCCAGATGTCCTTGTTTGAACTCCAATTCTTGCCCTTGTTTGTAGCTTTTGCACGCGGTGCTTCCGTGTTTGGAACTTTTGCAGTAAGCTGGCCGGCTGAAGGCTCTGATTCGTACTGGCCAAGGTCAAAAGAATCAAAGGGGAATATGACAGAGTCGCTGGAGGGGTCCATTGGTGCGTATGTTGAATGTGATGAAGAAATAATTAAAAATGAAAAAATCTGATATCTTGAGAACAATGAAAACGGATGATTTCTAACAGATACAAAAATCGAGTAAAATCGTCTGAGGAAAGTATGAAGGTCGGTTGATTGCATGGTTTTCATACCCATCACCAGAAATGACACTAGACACACGAAAGAAAGATTCCGTTAATATTTTCAATGATGAGAAAAGAAAAAAGAGTCTCCATAGCTTACTTTTGATGTCAATGGACCATTCGAGACAGGATTGATTGAGTGTTGTACGTAAAATCCAAGATGTTGACTTCAAGTGCAGGGTTGAAACGATGGGTCTCGCTATAGCGCTATGCCAATACTGGAGGTGCACGTGATGTCGAGAGTCTCTATCGTGCCCCTATATTTGGAGACTCTTGACCGAAATTTGGAGACTCTCGACGTCCCACCTCGCATTTTGCGAGGTCCGCTGCGCCGGTTTTTGGCGTTTTCATGGCCTGTATTGTCGAGAGCCCGCATTTTACGAGCACCGTTGTGGATGCTCTCATCAGACTACCACCATAGTCCAACAATATCTTACAAAGATAACATCAATGATACGTTATATTGATCAAAAAAAAAAAGAGGAAAATAAATTAACAAAAGGGAAAGATAAGAAAGCTTGACATCTAATGGCATCGACATCCTTTGCTCCGACTAAATGGCCGAATTCTTCGAGGTGTATTAGTCCTTACAATTTTAACTTGTTTAGTTAGTGTTTCATGCAATAAATGCCACAATGCACTTTAAAAAAAAAAAAAAAAAAAACCCGGTCATCAACACATCACACTCGCCGTGATCTCATCAACATATCGAACACCCTCACTCTCGATCAAAAGCCGTTCATTACAGCAGCAAGGTTGTTTATCACTGACTGGTTGCAGTGCTCTAATCACCTTGTGGCCATTTGAGAATTACAACTGGTGTGTAACCTCATTGGCTTGCTTGAACTGGGCTACAATCGGTTTTTGAAATACACACTCAGTCGTCGTTTTGGATATTTTCACACTCATCTTACACTCGCTCTATCACACTCTTTTACTACTCTGATCCTATCACTGGTCTGTCTACTTTTCTCTTTTCTTATCAAACCTTCATACTTGATTCTCAACTTGGATCTTCTAATTCGATCTCACTGACTTTTAATCTGACTATCAATTGTTTTTAATGGTAATCATCTCTAGCTGGATATCACCTTATCCAGTCCTTCGTTTCTTTCGATCACTCCATTATACGTTTCATCACTCTACTCAGACTACCTCTGACTCGTCTCAGCTTAAACCAGCCACTCTAAACTCATCTTCATCAAATTTATCAAATCAAGAATCGATCATTAATCAAACTTCAAATGATATTTGTAATATTGATAAATCTAAAATACCACGGTAAGTCAACATTATCACTTATTTTGTATATTCTTACTGATCTGACTTGATTCTTTGAAACTATAGACCCTATAAATGTCCAATATATGATCGAGCATTTTATCGATTAGAACATCAAACTCGTCATATTCGAACTCGTACTGGAGAAAAACCACATCATTGTACTCATTTAGGTTGCGATAAGAGATTCTCTAGATCTGATGAACTCGTCATGCTAGGATTCATACTCATCCAACTCCACGTAAAACGAATAAATCAATTCAACAACAACAACGTCATCATCAACAATCATTAACATTAACCTTACTAGTACCACCTTATCAGTCACATCAGTAGCAACAACAACAGCTTGAAGTTGATCAACATCATTCATTGGTTTGTCTTTCTTTTGTGATGTTCATTTTGATTGATTAACTAATTTGGTTCTCTCCTTTAGCTTGAATCAGATCTTCCGAGATCATCCTCATTGAATCTGAATATGAACTCTCAAGTACGTTTGAATTTTCCCATTATGAACACTTATTAGCAAGAGTTCATGGCTTCAAAACCCAAAATTTATCCTAATACATTCCATCATCTGATTTAAGTCTTTATTGAGCGTTTCCTAGACAAAACTCGGCATATCGAAGTACAACACTTAGGGGAGCGCTGGAAATGTGATCCATCTTTTCGAACATGATTGCTCGCTTCAACGTCGTCACCAAAAGGTCGTCGAGCTTGCTCCTGCTTCGGAGTTGACCGACGAAGTGCGCTCGAAGATCTTGGAGGATGCGAAGAAGTCAGCATCAGCTGTAAATTACTGTAACGCGGGGACTGCCGCGTTCCTTGTTGATCAACAGGGTCGTCACCATTTCATCGAGATTAAACCTCGTATTCAAGTGGAGCATACTATCACCGAAGAAATCACTGGAATCGATATTGTCGCAGCTCAAATCCAAATTTCAGCTGGTGCTACCCTTGCGGATTTAGGTCTCACTCAAGATGTGATTACAAAGCGTGGATATGCTATTCAGTGCCGTGTGACCACTGAAGACCCAGCGGCAGGTTTCCAACCAGACACCAGCAAGATCGAAGTCTACCACTCAACCGGAGGTAACGGTGTCGGACTGGATGCTTCCTCCGGGTTCGCGTTACCTATCCACGTTCACTCTCACGATACTGCCGGGATCTCCCTCGCGAAGATGCTGCAATGCGCTCGATCAGGTGCCGATGTCGTTGATTGTGCAATCGACAGCATGTCTGGAATGACCTCCCAATGTGCTATGGGCGCTTTGTGCGCTGGGCTTGAGCAAAACGGTCTCGGGACTGGAATCCGCTACGACAACGTCCAAGTTTTGAATGTATGTGTTCCAAGTTTACAATTCAAATTTTTGAACCTGTTTACTGATAAAAGCGGACCTGTCTCCACAGCTCTACTGGTCTCAATGCCAAATGCTTTACAGCTGTTTCGATGCTGACGTAAAAGCCAGTGACTCGAGTGTTTACAAGTTGAGTATTTGAGCTGGGTAAAGCTGATCTTATGAGAAACTTACAATGCTTCCTCTAGATTGTAGGAATGAGATGCCCGGTGGGCAATACACTAACCTCATGTTCCAAAGCCAACAACTTGGTCTTGGTACACAATGGGCTGCGGTGAAGAAAGCTTATGTACGCGGTTTCCTGCTATCACGTGATTGCTTCGCTGACTTGGCTATCTCACTTCCGGTTGCTCATAGATTGAAGCCAATCAACTATGTGGTGATATTGTAAAGGTAACCCCTTCATCAAAAGTTGTGGGAGACTTTGCTCAGTTCTTGGTGTCCAACAAGCTCTCTAAGGCTGATGTCAAAGCCCGAGCCGATAAACTTGACTTCTCTAACTCGGTGGTTGAATTCTTCCAAGGATTCCCGGTCAACCTGTGGGTGGATTCCCAGAGCCGCTATGTAGTCAAATCATTCGTGATAAACCTAGAATTGAGGGTCGTCCGGGTATCAGTATGGCACCATATAATTTTGATAAGACCAGGAAGGATCTTCGAGAGAAATTTGGAAAGAGTATCACCTCAACGGTTCGTTGTCTTTTTCAGACTTGATAATGAATTACATTTCCTGCAAACGCTGATTGACTTTTTGACGCCTTTTATAGGACGTTCTCTCTTATTGCATGTACCCCACAGTGTATGAAGCACAGCTAATGCTTCATACTGTTCTGAACTTCAATACCTTGCTTCACCTGTGACTACCCATGTTCAAAGTGCCAAATCTCATAACCAATCCGTGAATTCACTGAAGAAGAACAAATTGGAGATCAGCAAGATGACGATGGATTTTGAAATGGGCTTCATGATCCGTCTGTAGATGAAGACACTGGTTCACCTCATGTTTAAGATGATTTTCTGTTTTTTTTCAATTTTTGTGTTTTTTTGTTTTTTTTCTCAATTTATTTGTGAGGCTTTTTTCTTAGTGTAATTACTCTTTCCTTTCTCATTTGTATTGTTTCCAGTCTTCCTGCAATATACTATATGTAGCAAGAATGCTATAGATGTGAGATGCCTGAGCCACAACAATAAATGACCCATCACCTGTTCATTGGGCAAGACAGCCCAGCTATCCATTGGGTGAGAAGGCTCACCTGTTCATTAGATGATGGCTCACCTGGTCATCAGGTGATGGGACACCTGGTCATGGTGTGATCCATCTCACCCAATGAACAGGTGTCCCATCAGGTGAGATGACTCACACCATGACCAGGTGAGGCTTCTCACCTAATGACCAGGTGAGCCATCACCTTGTGATCACATGGCCATGTTGGGTGATGGTCACACTGGCTTTCATGTGTAGCCGGTAGATGTGGCATAGTGTGAAGAGCCTAGGTTTTATTGGCAGAGGCCAATTTCACCTGATCTTCACGTGCCGGCCGCCCCATGGTGTACCTATTACATTGTAAAAATTTCAGGAAAAAACAAAAAAGATTGAAAATTGAAATAAACAAGCAAAAAGTGAAAATAAACCCATCATCAGCAAAAGCAATATTAGAAGAGCCACAAGTGATTTACACTACTGGCAAGATCTATATATATTATAAAATCACAAAGCAAGACAGCTGTTTCCAGTTCCTGCTGGATCCCACACTGCTTCATTTACCCACGCTGTGGTGGCCCCAGAGACTCATGGCTCTATTCCACCTCAGAACCCTTCATAATTAAGGCCGTCCCTATCAACATCAGACTACACCAGGCCTCCGAAGACAGCACCATAAGAGTCCCTCATACCCCCCAAGTGCTACAAGCACTCAGCCATCTTGTCACAATGCAGGACCCTTTGTGACCAACTCAGCAACATCCACTACCCCAGCACCACACACCATCATTTGTGTCAGTATGGGTGACCTGCTTTAACAACCAAAATAAAATCAAGACTACAACCAAAAAGATCAGAAGAATCAGAAGAAAAAATCAAGGAATTGATTTGAAAAGCTATAAATTACAACCTGTACACTATTCAAAATTACGATTTCAGGAAGCAAAGTGTCTGATCTCATCAGAGAATCATCAAAAGAAATTGGGACCATAGAATGGTGATAGTTGAGTTTCTTCAACCAAAAAAATCCAATTTGTTTTTGCTTAACATTGGTTTGTTGTTTTATTTTTAGGTTTGATTTCAACTGCTCATGGTTTCTTGTTTGGTTTCATTTGTTAGAGCATCCCCAACGCGCCGCCGGAAACGTAACCTTTACATAGGGTTTACCTAACGTTTCTGACAGAAACGTAATGTCAAATTTACGTTTGCAAGGATTTTCCGAAAATCAGCCTCCAGCGCGACTAAAAAGTCCCACAGTTGGCCATGGGTGTGACTTCGATTATTCCGCCAGCTGGAATACGTACGGCTTGTTCAAATTGTTTCTAGCTGAGCCGAAAACCTCGGAAAACGTGTTTTCTCACATTTTGGACACCTTGAGACAAGCAAACTCGCCTATTTGGTCTCATTGTGTCATATCTTGATACCTTGAAGCTCGTATTACCACATCCTCGATCAGATCAAGCGGCCAATCCATGCGTTTGATCTGATCATGTCCTATCACCAGCGATGTTTCATCAAAGCCCTCCTCTTTTGAAGGCAGTATGTGTAGATAGCCATGTCTGTGCAGCGAAACAATGAAGTACTAGGTAGATATCAGTAATATGTATATGTCCGTGCAGTAATATAATAAAAGAGCAACTTTGACAAAGCCTAAGTCAATATTACCCTCCATCTGATATCCATTTATCACTGTTTGTATCTATCTAGTTCAAGTCCTATATCTTCATCGTGCAAATATCTGTTTGTGCCAATATTATTTAGTTTCAACTCCATAGTCATCATGAGTTCTTCGTTCTCCCGTGCTAGTACCGGTATGAGCAACTTGTCTATTGAGGGTGTTACCAGACATTGTGAGTGTGGCAACGGACGATTCAACATTGGTACATATTCTCTGATTGCTAATACTTTGTTTTATACTTTGTTTTAAAGGAAGCCGAGTGCCTTCCAGCATAGGTCCTCCGTTACAAAGTTTCACCTCCGGCACACAACCTCCTATGTATAACAACGGCCGCGAGGGCTCTCTTGACGCCCATTCCCAGTACAGCAAAAATCAATACCGTTCCCGCCGAGATTCTGTTGAAACTGGCCCACAGTTCCGTTACAATTACAATTTCATTCCACCTTGAAACAATCACGATCATTTTCGAGCTCATTCTCCAGATGAAGATTGGCCACCTAGCTCTCAGGTACCGCCTTCTCCTGCGTTGTCTAGTTCAACTCAACCACCTAGCTCTCAGGTACCACCTTCTTCCGCGTTGTCTAGTTCAACTCAAACAACGATGACTCAATCTGAAAACCATCAAAACACTCAGTCATCTGTCAAATTGCGACCCTCCGGCCGTGGGTCTAATTTTGATGAGCAATCTCTCAACCAGCTCTGTACCTCTTGGCTTCATGTATCTCAAGATTCGGTGACCGGCAACGATCAAAAGTCCGCTGTATTTTGGGGTAAAATAGCAGATGACTTCAATCTCCGTATGGACCAAAAATCCCAACGAACTTGGAAATCACTCAGTGCCCGATGGTCATCTCTTAACGCTTCAATGTCTAAATTCGCCGCTTGTTTTTCTCAAATTGTTATGTTGAATGAAAGTGGAAAGTCGCAAGCTGATCAGATCATGGATGCGCTTACTATGTATCAAGCCGACACTAAATCCGCTTTCAAGGATATTTCAAGCTACAACATTGTTAAAGATACTCCTAAATGGCAGCAGAACCCAGCTTATGTCGAACATTGCGGAAAATGGAATGGTTCTCATGATTCAAGCAGTCTCAACCTGGGTAGTGACCTCGAATCCTTGCCTAAAATGGACAGACCTATGGGTTCAAAGCAGGCTAAGCGAGGCCGATCGAATCTGACTGAGGAGCTGATTCCGCAAATGCTAGAGAATCAATCTCAAATGTTACAGACCCAGAACTCAGTTGCGGAGTCTAACCGCGAGTTAGCAAAGCAAGGTAAAGCTGCTCAGGAGTCACTCCAAAGCATGGTAGACTGGACCATCCTGACTACCAATATGTCTACACTTGATGATGTTGCTCGTGCTGAGATTGAAGCACGCAGAAGCGAAGTGATTCGCCGTTTGCGCGCTCGAAGGGAAGCTGAATAGTGATTTATTCTATTTCTTTTGGTTATTATATTTTTCTTCTAACTTTCATCTCGTTCATTATAAGTTTCTTCTACCTTTGATATCAATCTTTATATTTCGTGTGTTTATTTAGCAACAACCTATATGTCATCTCCTTTATCTTGTGTATATTGCATGTTTGCTCTACTCTATGTTTTTCCTTGCATGACTCTACGAAACCCAATTGGAACTTATTTGTATTACTTCAGTACTTTCATTAACCCATTTGTCCGCCTCCCTTGGAATTTCATTCTACTACACTCTTTTGGTTCATATTTTTCGTGGATTTTAACATATCCAGTGTGGTCTGCGGAATTGCCGAACTCGTAGCCACACACCGATCTGCCATTGTTACAGTTGCTACCAGATTGAATGTGACCTTTTCAGAGATATAAAAGGTTCGCGCTGAACGTCTCCACCCCAAGATCATCAACTGCACACTGTTCATAGCTGTAAATAAAATCACCACTCTATCGCAATATTCATTCATCTATTAAATTTTTCGGTGTCTTATATCTTCAAACATCTGCTTTATTAACTTTAACTATATCAAACTACTATGTCTGCTTGCGCTTGTGATGATGTCCGTCTGTGGGGCGTTAGAACCGCTTTGGAAGTGAAAGGAGGTTAGTTTCTTACCTGAACTCTGTTACTGGAATATTGATCATATATAACACCTTTTTCCCTTGCAGAGTGTTGGATCTGCAAGGACTACGTACCTCTCCTTAGCCCAAGGCAAATTCGATACTCGCTTCGTCAAGATCGTCTGTCCAACGCTTCCAATGGAAGCCGTTCCAGTGTATCTAATGGATCTGGTAAGTCTTCATTTCATTGTGCGGTTTAGCACTTGTTAATGTTAATCATTGATTATCCGGCCTTATGAAGTGAACCACATCAAGGTTGCACCAAAAGTCAAGTCCACAAACGATGGAAACATCAGACAACGTCATCGAGATAGTTTACCAGCTTGATTACAAACGGGTGAAAGCTCAGCGTAACATTAAAGTGCTTATAGAGAATAAGCTCCGCGACGACAGAGCTTCCATCCGTGATGCCCTTTACCTTATTTATACTTACAACGGACCTTTCCTCCAAAAGGTTGGTGACAAAGGTAAAGCCGCCGATTTTTTGCGTCGAGAGGGTTTGGGTGCGATGTTTGTGAAGATGGAAGATCAAGAAGTCAAGTGGGAGTGGCTTCAAAATCGGGTCAATGATGGTGAAGATGAGATTCACCATGTATAAGCCACGCTTCTCACGCACTTACGACTGTGATGAGACTGTTTCCTTCCTCTATGTTGAATCTTTCTCTTTTATCTCTCTCTCTTTTTTCCTCACCTCAGATCGATTGATCAATATGTACAAATCATAATGGCCATTTTGTTATCTTACATTGTAATGAGTGAATGAGGAAATATGAAAGAACTTAGTGACTATGAACAAAAGCGACTTGGACAAACACAAAAACAAGAAAGGTGTAACTATCAAAATTTATACTTGACCTAAAACTGAATAAGTGAATGAGTGTAGATGAAAATAAACTATAAGCAAAAGTAAAAACACAAGATACATAATTGCATCTAAACATCATCACCCCCATCCGTATTCCATATATGGTCAATCAAATCGTCACGAAGTGCAAGATGTGCATCAGCCTCACGATATGCGCTTCTTCCCTGCAAGAACCGTGCGGTTAAACCAGGTGGCCTTGCCAAGCGTGGTGGGGGAACCAGCTCTTCAGCTTCGAGAAACTCGAATCCTGCACCTCCCTGCGCCTCGATCACCATGTTATGCAATATAATACATGTGTTCATGATCGAAGCAAGAGATGAAGGTTGCCACATCCTGGCAGCTCCCTTGATAACATGAAATCGAGCTTGTAGAACTCCAAACGCTCGTTCAACATCTTTCCGAGTAGACTCTTGGTATTTAGCAAATAACTACAAATAATAACAATCAAATTGAGACGTTAGGTGAAAAGGGTATGTAAAACAAGTAGATTATTAACATAAACAACAAACCCGAAGTTTGGGTGTCAAAGGTGCACTATACGTCTTAACCAAAGTGGACCAGTTCGGGTAGATGCCGTCTGCGAGGTAATAACCAGCATGATAGTTATGAGCGTTGACGACGAAATCACAAGGAGGAGCTTCGCCACGAGACAGTTGGTTGAAAAGAGTAGATCGCTCTAGTACATTGATGTCATTCATAGCTCCAGGCATACCAAAAAAAGAATGCCATATCCACAGATCCCGAGTGGCCACTGCTTCAAGAACAAGGGTTGGCTTTCCTTTTCGACCAGAGAAGTGACCTTGAAGTGCTTTAGGGCAATTCTTCCACTGCCAGTGCATGCAGTCAAGGGAACCTAGTATCCCAGGGAAGCCATGTTCGGCGTTTTCGGCTATAATACGCTGAACATCTTGGGCGTTAGGTCGGCGTTGATACTGAGGTCCAAAGTGTTGGATTACTCCGCTGCAAAACCGGAGGAGGCATTCGATGGCTGTGGATTCACCAATTCGCAAATACTCGTCGTTTTGGTCAGCTGTAGTTCCATAAGCAAGTTGTTGGATTGCAGCGGTGCACTTCTGATGAGGTGATAGACCTGGATGACCTTTAGTTTTGGTCGAAAAATCCTTAGTTAATATATTATGTTCAACATCGAATAAGAATCAAAGTGAAGGTAATATAAAACGCTTACCCAAAGCATCACTCCGTTGGGTGAAGTAAACGTCATCACCGCCAAGCGCCGTCATGATACAGAGGAACATGTCGCGTGGCATGCGGAAACAACGTCGAAATAGAGCCTTGCCGTACACAGGTTCTGCGGCAAAGTAGTCTTTCATGAGTCTAGCGTGACCAGCAGGGGCATCGCGCTGAAGGTTAGGTGAGCGACCAGGTTGGGAACCGCCCCTTGATTGAGGTTCCTCCAACGTCAGAAGGATTGGAAGCAGATCCAGGTTGACAGTCGAGAGCGAAGAAACCACTTGAGACCGTATAGCAGCTCCAACCTGATATTGAGCCAAGAATTCTACAAGGTTATGGTTCATTGTGTAAATTTATCTCGGTAGCGAAATGGACAAGTTGATATAATGATTTGTTTCAAGGACGTGGTATGAAGGTAATAGATTGACAATGTGTAGTAAGAAGAAAGGTAAAAATTGAAAGGTTTAAACAGGCACAGTAGGTTATAAACGAGGTCAGATAAAAGGTAGAGAACAAGGACAAAGAAGTACAAACAACTATGAATGACTTATATATCAGGAAGCGCCAGAGGGATGCATTCCATAAATCATAATGTACCAAACCACGGCATTACAAATATGATTAACCTCGCCAATACGCAATTACTTACACAAGACCGCCATATTACCGCTTTACTTAATGGCTTTGTAACGAATATACCTTGTTTGGGCACAGTTAGGACTCATGCAACAGAGGAAAAGCATGGCTTTATCTTCATGGTGGAAGGATTGGGTGATCAATAATGATCGACCTGACGAATTACGTCTCAGATAGTTACAATCCGGCGTTTCGGACGTATTAGGCAGGGGTAGAAACCCAAAGGTCATATTCAGCTCGCGCGGTGCTGCCGACTGAAGCTGAAGCTGAAATACAGGTGTCCAACTGTCATTTGTGACACCTGTACCAGGTTTTCAGTTCCCGGCGCGTTGGGGATGCTCTTATACAAGGTTTTATGTGGATTACAATTTGAAGTACTTGAACCAAATTTTATGATTCCAAATCAAGGTTGTATAAGTAAGTGAACAAAATGCATCACTAAAGGGTTTTTTTGAATTCAATTCATATTTATGACCTAATATAGTGATTGGAGTGCTTTGGTCTGCATAATTGAACTGAAATCAAATTCATGATCAATCACAAATTAAATTGAGCCATGTCAAAAATATAATCAAATTGCAAAATCTTTAAAGCTTCTTCAATTTACAACCAAAGTAAGGAAGCAATATCCTTTTTTCACTTTTTTCAATCAAATCAATAAACAACACATCCTGTTGGGATGAAAGATTGATAATTGTTAATTTACACTGCACAATAAGTAATATGTTCTGTGCAGAAAAGAGAAATAGAGGCAAATTTTCATGTAGAAAGCTCTCAACAAGACAAAAAATGGTAAAAATATAAAAAGAGGTTGATCATATTTCTAATTGCTTCTTTCTGCTCCTGTTTTTTTTATCATTTTCGTTAAAATACCCCTTTTGTGTACTAATGAAACAATGGTGTTGACTCCGGATTGTGACCTGTAACTTATAAATCCCAGGCCTAGGTCAGCTCAGAGATTTGAAACTGGTCCAAAACCCTATGATCTGGTGGTTTTGAGCAAGATTTGAGTTTCTGACGTGCCCCGCCATTGTTCTTACAGGTCACACTCTGAGGCCTGAAAACATGTTTCATTAGTACAAAAAAGAGTTGTGTCACTGAAAATATGAAAAAATGACAAGGAGCACAAATGATCAAGTAAAAAGCCAAGGCACCTTTCTGCTCATTTTTACCATTTTTTTGTGCTGGTGAGATTTTTCTACAGGAACACATACCTGTACTTTTCTTTTCTGGACAGAAAATATTAATTTTGAGTCAGTTTTAAGCTCCTTGTTAGTCAAATCAGAAATTTTTGTTTGGGTGTTTTGTTTAGACTCATGATATGTCTTTTAAATGATAGAATTATTTCCATAAGGCAAGCACTTCATATTCAGGTAAAAACACCAAAAATCATGAATATTTGAAAACACCCAAATGGATCTTCTAAGCAATACCTATTTTTTGTTTTGTGGTATGGAGACCTTGAGTTAATGAAATCATTTTACTGGATCCAAATGAAATTCATACTAATATAATTAAGCCATACAATCTGTCCATGATCATTTTTGATCATTGAGAAGTAACAAATCCAATTTTAAATCCAATTTTAAATCCAATTTTAAATCCAATTTTCAATGTGAATCATCAAGTCAAATTCTAACTTTGTTTGTAGAGCCAACTATATTTGAAGAAGATTATTCAAGATGATTGATTACTATTATAGTTGAGTCAAACCGTAAAGCAAGATATTTTCATTTTGTGGTGACATTGATCATACTACCAAAAAATTAAGTTAAAAAAAACAACTTTTAAAAAACAGTTCAGAAAAACAAGAACAAAACACAAATGGTGTTTGACAGTTTATAATTGAGTAAATAAATGTATACATAACTTGAACAGGTTTTCTTAAATGAAGGTCATTTCTTGATTGAGTAAATCACAAAACCTTTCTGGACCACCTTGAATGTTTTGATGGATCAAATTGAGTTGAGGTACATTTGACAAGTCATAATTCAAAGAATTGATTAATCCATCAATTTCACTATTTTTTTATAAATCATTAACAACAATTCCATTTTGCAGCTGTTCCTTGATTGGTTCCCTGGGCATGCTATTCAGAGGTTCAGCTTATGGACTGTTGTGGTATCCACCTGGCAGAAGGTGGTTTGTGGTAGGTCATTTGCCTTATTCTCTGTTTCAAATGATGAGTATGATGTTCTTTGATCAGGCTATCACATGCAGGTCAAACACTTCCACTTCCCAAAATCGTTTTTTGCATTTTCAAGTGCTGCATGATGCCAAAGTACTCTGGATGATGGCTCTCATGTGGCTCCAATTCCAGTGCATACAACCCAATTTGTATAGAGAAATTATGCAGCATCCTGACTTTGTAGTGTGCATTTAAGAGTGGCTTCAACCATGGATGTGTGATTGTTTGTCTTCCTCAACCTTTTTCTCTCTTTGCTTCCCCAATAACATCTTGAGCCCCTTTGGACAATCTGAAGCCAGCAAGACAACCATCACAATGAGGCAACCAGGCCATATATTATATACTCAAAGCATCAACACCCTCACAATCGCGCAACCCAGTGAAGTATCATATAATGTATGGGTGATGGTCAACCAAAACTTACACAATAAGCTGTCCTCATGCCCTCGGTCTTCGGATCTACCTAGGTTATGTGTGCCAAGTATGTAAGAGAATAGACAAGATGTTGAAACGCTGAACCACGTCTGGTTCAGCTTCAGAGCACTGTGACAAGAGCCAAACATCAAGTCTCCTGAAGGGTTTGTGGTTCAACTGTCTTTACCCCATACATTAATACATGAGACTATAGAGAAATAACTCGGTGGTTGTTTGTTTGGCAACATCTAGTTATGTCAAGTTTTGAGATTGATCCGAAAGAAATTCAGGGTCACGCATAACTTTTGTTCACTTGAAATAGACGCTAGCAGCAGTACAAAAGGGATCAATCATTGAATGCCAGATCCTTCTATCTTGAGAGCAGTCTTGCTGTGTAGTTTAGGCCCAATGCAAATGTAACCAATGGTCAACTTGCGCTGCTTTGAATAAGTATGGCGGTGCAGTGAGAGCAGTTCAGATGAAAATTGCCTCCGAGGGAGGGCTCATGTCCGCAATCATCATCATCATGGACATTTAAAAATCTATGCATTTCTATAAACACGAGGAAAATTGGAGGCCACGAGTAGCGATTTTGAAAGGGGGCGCGTGAGGCATCTCCTGGCGGATCACGCGGTATCTACGCTCCAACAATCTTGGCAATAGCCTGGAAAAAAGTGGTCAGTTAACCTCACGAAGAAAAAGAGGCAGAAACTATTCAGACGACGTACTTCCATACTGAGCGATTTGGGACGTTCGATGGGCAAGTTGTGTACTCTATCCCAGACCAGCTGGCTCAAAGCGCCCATGGCTCTTGAGCAACCGAACAGGACAGTGTAGTACTCGAACTCGGTCATACCATAGTGGTACAAAAGGCATCCAGAGGCTGCATCGACATTTGGAAACGGGTTCTTAGTCTTACCGTGCTCAGTTAAGACACCGGGAGCAACTTGGAAAAGGCTGTCGACAATCTTGAACACAGGGTCTGCTGCGACTTCGGGTCGCTTGTTGCCAAATTCTCGCAAGGCTTCGAAACGGGGATCCTGTTTGAGTTTGGGAGAATCACACGAAATCAGATGAGTGGCTCAAATGTAACAATGAAACAATGAAAGATCATACAGGTTTCCTCAAAACGGCATGCCCATAGCCGGGCACAACTCGGCCGGACTTCAGCACTTTCCAAACATGTTCCTTGACTTGCTCAGGACCAGCATTTGAGCCAATCGCAGCTTTCATCTCGAGAACAAATCTAAGGGCTTCTTGATTGGCAAGCCCGTGGAGAGGACCAGCAAGACCAGCGAGCGCGGCCGAATAAGAAAGGTATGGATCGGATAAAGCAGAGCCGACGAGATCTGGGTAACTTTGTGTTAGCTAATAGAAAGATGCGATAACATGTTTAAGGATGGAAGCTAACGGGTGGTATGAGCTGAGACGTTTCCTCCTTCGTGATCGGTGTGTAAGGCATTGTATAATCGCACAGCTTCGATGAATCCTTGAGAGTCACCAAAACCAATCTGCTGGGCGTAGTTCCAAGAAAGGTCCTTGCTCTTGTTGATAGCAGGTATTTTGGAAGAGTCCTTGTATTTAGAGGTGTAGATGCGAGCGGCGATTGGGTAAACCATTGCTGCCAGGTCGAGCGAGTCTTCAAGAGTCGTCTTCCAGTAATCAGCCTTCTTAATACCAGATGAGTAAGCCGCGGCAAATTTCGAGTTGTGGCTACAGACAGTTTATGTGATAAGTAACGATTGATAACATTAACTGCACCTGTTCAATATACTCACTTGAGTGCGGCGGTAGCCATGACAAATTGTGTCATAGGGTGGAGCGTCTTGGCTATTCAATACGTTGTCACATCAGCTGGGGAGATCGTGGCTGAGAGCAGAGTGACCAGACATACGGAAAGAGTCGATCAATTTCTCAATGAACTTGGGCACTTTCGTACTTCGTTCGGCCAAATCAGCTTGGAAGGCTTCAACTTGCTTTTCGCTAGGAACTTTTCCAGTTAGGAGATACCAGAACATGCTTTCTGGGAGCATTTCTGAGCCATCCTTCGCACTCGGAAGGACTTGCTGACATTCCGGGATTGTTCGTCCCCAAAAACGAATTCCTTCTTCGGAATCGAGCACAGAGGGATCCCAAAGCATACTCTTAAGACCTCTCATCCCACCAAATACGTGTGAAACTTGGACATCGCCCAGTTTCTTATCGCCGTGTTCCGACTTGAGTTTCTTAGCTAATTCCAAGCGCTCGGGAATGATCTCGGCCAATTCATCGTGAATAGACTGTGGATTTGAGACTTAGTCAGCAAATCGGGTACCACAAGGCTTTTGATATGGAGTGAGAGAGAAGTTGACGGTGGAAAGTACCTTGGTAGAAAGGAAACGAGGAGCGAGTGTCTGGCCTGCTACCTGGCGGAGGGACTGGAGAAGGAGAAAAGTTCTTATCATGAGCAATCAGTGTCATATGGTAGTCTCAGCAACACGACGTACACAGGGATGGAGTAAATTGCGTCGCAGGAGGGAAGCCATTGGATATCTGGAAGTTCAGCAAAAGGTAGAAAAAGTTGTGCTTGAAAAGTGATGAAGTTCTGAGAGATTGAGAATGATAAGTCGGTGGTGTGACTTGAATAACGATGATCGGGTTATAGGGGGTATCACTCAACTTGAAAACTGACGGCCGAAGTCGATATAAAGTGTGTTTAAACTTACCCCAACCAAATCCGATTTTTGCCGAACTGTATACTCGCCAATACATTTTGCACATACGCAGCTCTTAACCAGCCTCAAACAGCCAGTCACGTGATCAGCGTCACACCTGTGGCTGGAGCAGCGAGCCGGCCCCGGGAAATTGCCCGCCCTGAAGAGACCCGGCTGTAATCTAAAGTGACC